AGAGCGGCTTGCGGGATTTAGCGCTCCTGTTAACGCCCAGCCGAAGCAGTCAAGGTGAGCCCGAGGGCGCTTTGTGCCTGCTGTCCCCCGTCCCCACTCCCCCGAGCCCCCCGTCCCCGGGGCTGGGTACCACGGCCAGACCTCGCCACTGCTGAGAGGGGCATCCGAGTGCTGGGATCCCGCAGCCCTCCTTCCCATCTCTTCTTCCCCAGGGCTGGGGCTGGCTTGCTTCCAGCCCTGAAAGGGATCTGTCTGCAACGGAGAGAGGGCTGGGAAGATCTCGGCGCAGCTCCTGGCGAAGCTGGCTTCCCCTTTCAGGGGATTGTGCGTGCGCTGCAGCTGCAGCAAGGAGCTGCCTGCAGCCTGCGCCTCAGCAAAATGTAGGTTAGCAAAGCATTAGGACCCTAGCCTTGGAGGCAAGATGGGTGCTGGGCCCAGCTGGCTCTCACACGGCTCAGGCTCCTTTTGCTGGTGTCATGAGGATCCCCAACCCCCCCTCTCAGTCTGTGGGACCTGGGGTTAGGATGCTCCCCACCCTGCTTGGCTCAACATCCCCCCAGCACTGCAGAGAGTCCTCAAGCCAAGCGGGGACGCGGGGAGCTTGGCTATGCTGCAGCCAGCTGTGGGGAGGACTGCAGGCAGAAGACATTGCCCAGCAGGAAAGCGTTTGGGCAGGTGTGTATAGTAGCATCATGCAATGGCCCCAGTTAAGTACTGGCCTGGTCTCTGAGGCTGTGCTGGTAAGAGCCAGGAAGGTGAAATGAGCCAAGGGAGGCAGAGAAGGACTGGCAGTAGCAGGGCCCCATCACTGTTCTATTAAGTCTTTCCCAGCAAGCCCATGGGGACTCCGGGTACCAGCTGAGGGTCCAGTGTAGCCAGGACTGCTCTGCCCCAGGAGCCTGGGTAAGGCACAGCATGCTTTGTCGGAGAAACTGACTGCCAACAGTCTGCTTGCTTGGCACCTCATACCTGTGTCCCCCGAGCCCTGACCAGGCCAGGCAGGGGTAATTGCTGGTGAGCCCTTAGGGACATCCAGGCACAGTTAAGTGTCCCCCACTGAGGGCAAAACATCAGCTCTCCCACCTCCTGTCCTGTGCACACCGTGGTGGACAGGAGTGGGGCAGGGAGCCCAGCAGCAGTGGGGCCGGGGGAGCTCAAGAGCCTGCCAGCTCTGCTGCCAGAGCTGGACCCAGCTACAAGAGGTGCATGAATTATTGACTGTGGAGCTGATCAGCTCCTCCTTGCTGTGAGCCCCTTTGTGCTAGCTCAGCTGCCCCAGACAGGTCCATCTTTCCATCCAGCTGTGGGTGCTAGACCCTGGCCCTGAGAGAGGGGCCCACTGTGAATCAACCCTTGTGTGTTTCCCACAGAGCAGCAGGATGGCAGAGAAGGGTATGGATCCCGCGTGTGTCTCCATCGCCCTGGAGGACACAGTGTGCCACGCCAGCCCCCCAGATGCCCCGCTCCTCACCACCCATTTGAAGAAGGTAGAGAACCACATCACAGAGGCCCAGAGGTTTTCCCACCTCCCGAAGCGCTCGGCTGTCAACATTGAGTTCATCGACCTGTCCTACTCCGTGCGTGAAGGCTCCTGGTGGAGGAAGAGGGGTAGGAGCTGCTGGCTGGGGAAGGGCACGGGAGGGGACCTGCAGGGCTATTGCATCCCTCTCCTGTTCTGCATGCCTTGATCTCACCCAGGTCCCCAGCATCTCCCTCTGTGCTAAATTCATCTGCCAATTCCTGCTCCAGGCAGTCCCAGCCTCTGCAAGCACAGAGTGCCTCAGCTCTCTGCCTGCCGGCAGCAGCTTGCCTCATTGCATGGTGGCAGGGCTGCACACAGGGAGACACAGTGGGAGATGCTGGAGCTGCTTACCCTGCGCTCACCCTGCTGTCCCCTGCAGCAGTGGGGGCTGGCTGGGTGGTCGGCCTGTCCGGCCCCATGGTCTGTCTGAGCGCTACGTGCTGTTTGCAGCCATGCTGTGGCTGGCAGTCCTTGCTGGGCGCCCATGGGTGGAGGGCAGGCTCGTGTCCCACAGAAGTTGCTGCGTGCCTCTGCTGTGCAATGCTGGAGGAAAGCAGATCGCATCCCAGGGAAGCCTCTGGCCAGGGCTGCACAGGGGAGATGGGGCAGATTTCCTGGTTCAGGGGCAACCAGGATGGATTAGTTTCCCCAGCACTGTTGTTTGGGATATGCCTGTGTGTGATGTGCCAACAGTAGAAGACCCCAGGGGGTGCCCCGGTTCAGAGCCTGGCAAGGAGAATATGTGTGATTTGCAGGGGATTTCCTCTCCAGCGGCTCCCTGTGCAGCTGAGGCCATGGTTCCTTTTCCTGTGTGCGACTCTGGCCGAGAGCTCAGGGAGGGGAGAGGGGAGGCAGATGGTGGCTGGTGGGTGGTAGTCTGCTTTAATTAGCTCTCTCAGTTAATGGGATGCCAATCAGGCAGCCCCATGAGATGGAGGGGGAGCTGATCAGCAGAAGCTGAAGGCAGGCAGGGATGAGCGGGGGGCCTGGGGTGAGCAGACCGAGGGTGCAGCGCTGCTCAGTGTGATGCCCTGCCAGCCAGGAGCACCGTCCTCAGCCAGGCTCTGCAGCTAGGGAAACTGAGGGACTGAAAGACAGCGGGACCAGCCTGGATATCTTCCCCGGATGAGGTCTGCCTGTTTGTCTGGGATGCTGAGGAAGCATCCCAGGAGGAGTCATAGTACAACCACAGGTTCCCCAGGGCAGAGTGTGCTGGACCAGCCGCTTGCCAGTGGGCCAGTACCCTGCACAGAGGGAGGGGGAAAGGCTTGGGCAGCTGGAGTGGCGAGGAGCATGCTGAGGGGTGCCGGGATCCTGCGGTGGCAGTGGGAGGGCCTCTCCTCTTCCCCAGGCCAGAGGTGGGTGGAGGAGCAGGCGGGGAGCTCCCGGTGCCTTTGACCGCAGCCCCCAGGATCCGCTGCGCTCTGCTGAAGCAGGAGGTTACTGGCAGTCAATGAACGCAAGTAACCGCTGCGCAAGCTGCAGTGGCGCCGACGTGAGCGGCATGCGCGGTGCCGGAGCCGTATGCGTGGTGCTGGGATGCGCTGGGGGGGCTGCTGGGCAAGCTGGCTCTGCTGTCATCATGCACGGCCCCTTCCCCTCCCCTCCCAGCCCTCGCTGCCCCTCTGCCAGCAGGGCCTGCTCCCGGGTGCAGGGTGCCTGACTCTGAGGGGTGCAGGGGAGGAACCGGGAGCCTGTGGTGCCGGACCCCCTGTCCGGGGGATGGACAAGCCAGTGGGGCTGCTCCCCGAGTGCGGTGCTAGGACTATCAGCTGATCTGGCCTTGGGGCTTGCCCCGGCCTGTGGGCAGGGGATAGGTATGTTGCCCTTGCCCAACGCCAGCTGCCACCACAGGGCGCATGGGGGGCATATTTCCAGCAGGGAGGTGCTCAGACGTGGTCCGTGGTTCAGCATGGTTCTAGCACCCTGTATACCATTGCTCTCCTGCCAGAGCTGTGTTTTGGGGGCAGCTCCTGAGAGCCTGAGGCTGTGCCTGTTCCCTACTCCCAACACATCATGTTCCTTCTGCCAGAAAATGCTAATCAGCTGCGTTTAAAGCAGAGATAATTCAGGTCTGATTAGCAGCGGCTGCTGCCGGGTATCACAGCTTGAATGCCAATGAAGGCAACAGCCAGGCATCCAGAGGGCTTGGGGACTCTGCCTGCCCCATGCTACCCTGTTTTTCACTGCCCCTCTCCACTGGCCCTAGGGACTGGGATCTGACGATGTGCTTAGGACCAATGTCACAGCCTGGTAATCTTCCTCAGCAGCTACGTGCCCTGACCCAGAGATTTCCATGGTCTTTGCCGTCATCCAGGGCACGCGCCTCTTCGGCGCTGGAAGTCGGTGGGTCCAGCCAAGGACCAGGGTCAGGGATCATGCTGGAAATGAGAGCTGCTGTGGCTATAGCCCTGGTGATGCTCATGAAGACAGTCTCCTGTCACATGCAGCCCCTGGCATGATGCATGGAGGTGCTGAGGTGCTAAGGTCCACAGGTGCTAAGATGGCATTACAGTCCCTGTAGCACTGCTGCTCCTGAAAGCCAAACCCATGCTGCTCTCCCTCCAGGGTACAAGACTCTCCTCAAATGCCTGTCAGGGAAGTTCTGCCAGCGGGAGCTCATTGGGATCATGGGGCCCTCGGGTGCTGGGAAGTCTACACTCATGAACATCCTGGCTGGCTACAGGTGAGGCTGGGGAAAAGTCAGCAGGTCTGGGGGTGCAGGACTGGGGCTCCATTGCTACATCCCCCCCCCCCTCCTTCCTGCAGGGAGACTGGTATGAAGGGGCAGATCCTGGTGAACGGCCGGCCGCGGGACCTGCGTACTTTCCGCAAGATGTCCTGCTACATCATGCAGGATGATATGCTCCTGCCACACCTCACCGTGCTGGAGGCTATGATGGTGAGTGATGCAGGAGCCAGGCAGCCTGCTGGGCTCTGTGGGGCATCCTGTGGACTGTGTCCTTGGGCACTGAGCCCACACTGACATCAGGCATTTCCAAGGGCTCTGGGACACAGGAACAAAATCCTGCTGTTCTTGCTCCCTTCATACTGAGCCACTGCTCCCAGCCCTCAGCTGGGCCACGGTGCAGCTGATTCCGTTGCCTACATCTGACAGTCATGTCTCCCTGCCCATCCTCTCCCTGCAGGTCTCTGCTAACCTGAAACTCAGTGAAAAGCAGGAGGTGAAGAAGGAGCTGGTAAGTGCAGAGGAAGGTGGGCCCAGGCCCCCTCATCTCTCCCCAAGAGAGAGACAGTAGGGAAGAGAGGGCCCTGAGGGGACCAGGGGATGCCAAAGGGCTCACAGCGATGGAGGTCTGAAGGGAGGTGGCAGGGATGGGGTGAGGGTTGGTGGAAGTCCGTGGTGAATGAGGCTGTCTCACAGGTGAACGAGATCCTGACGGCCCTGGGGCTGCTGGAGTGCTCCTACACCCGCACAATCTCGCTGTCAGGGGGGCAGCGCAAGCGCCTGGCTATTGCCCTGGAGCTGGTGAACAACCCTCCCGTCATGTTCTTCGATGAGCCCACGAGGTGAGGCTGCAGGGGCCGGGGTTCTCCAGCACTGCCTGCCCAGCTGGGCTTCCCCTGCCAGGGGACACCGGGGTGGCCAGCACCCTCTGGAGCACAGCAGGGTTGCGAGACCTGAGGGTGGGATGTGACTGTGCCCACCAGGGCTCCAAGAGGGCTGGGGCTGCAAAGGGATGCTCTTCTCCATCGACCTGGCAGGAGGCTGCCTACAAGGGGAGGCAAGTGGGACGTCTTTAGGATGTACTTCTCTCCCTCTAAAGTCTCCCCTTCTCTGTCTGCTGTCTTTTTCTCCTCCACCCATCCTGCATGGCCATAGTGGTCTGGACAGTGCTTCCTGCTTCCAAGTGGTTTCCCTGATGCGGTCCCTGGCACAGGGTGGGCGCACCATCATCTGCACCATCCACCAGCCCAGCGCCAAGCTCTTTGAGATGTTTGACAAGGTTTGGACTGGGCAAGGTTTGGACACAGGATTCTTCAGGGGTGCAGGGTTCCTCTGGACCCAAGACTCGGGGGAGAGGCCATGGGAGGGATGAGCTGCAGGCAGTTGACCTGGGGCTTGTGTGGCACACAGCCCTGATGGCTGGGGTCTGGCAAGGGTGCCCTGTGTCACCCTAGGACAGGGAGGTGGGTACGAGCAGGCAACAGTGTCCTTGGCTCCTCTGCACCTGGCATATCCCAGCTTTTTCTTGCAGCTGTACATCCTGAGCCAGGGCCAGTGCATCTTCAAAGGCGTTGTGACCAACCTCATCCCCTACCTGAAGGGTCTTGGCCTCCACTGCCCAACATACCACAACCCTGCTGATTTCAGTGAGTGCCTCTGCCCCAGCTGGGGCTCTGGTGAGGAGCAGAGGGTGTCAAGCTCCAAACCCAGTGCCCAAGGTCTACAGGCTGCCCGGCATTTCCCCAGGTTGCCCAAGGAGCAGGACTGCCTGTGGTGGCAGTTGGTGCTCAGTGGGCGGTGCTGCCATGTGGTGCAGCATCGTGGGTTGGAGGTTGTACTGGGCTCCCACCCTGCTGCCCCACAGGGTCATGGTCTGGGCAGGCTGAGCAAAGTGATGGCAAGGGCTGCCTCAGGACCTCACAGGGGTCCTGTCCTCCTCCACAGTTATCGAGGTGGCCTCAGGAGAGTACGGGGACCTCAACCCTGTCCTGTTCCGCGCCGTCCAGAACGGCATGTGCACTATGGCCGAGAAGAAGAGCAGCCCTGACAAGGCAGATCCATCATGCCCAGCACACTGTGTGACGGTAAGCGGGGATGAGAGGAACCTCCTGCGGTGATGGGGAGTGGCAGGTAATGGGGTGCCCACCCAGGGACACTTCAGTCCCCTCTGCCCCACAGTGCATGGATATCCTGTGATGCCTAGAGGCCCTTGGACACGGTAGGTAGCGTGGAGGTGTTCAGCCAGCCTCCACTTGTCTTGAGCATCAGCTCTGTGCTTGCAGCTGGCAGTGCCTGTTCTTACCAGGAGTGCTCATGAAGGGGCACCCTGGGAGTGTTTGTGTGCCATCCTAGTAGGGAGCCCGTGTTGTGGACTTGACCTATGTCCCTGACTTGACTGTGGTCTTGCAGGATGCGGACCACATCGAGAGCCACACGTTTGCCACCAGCACTGCAACCCAGTTCTGCATCCTCTTCAAGAGAACGTTTATCTGCATCCTAAGGGACACGGTGAGGGCAGGGGAGGCTTGGCCAGGGCTGAGGGGATGGGGCCTGTTTGTCACTGGGGGCAGGCGGAGACAGGATTTGAATGGGGAGTGGGGCTTACCCTTAAGGTGCAGGCAGGTTCATGGGATGTGGCCCTGCCTCGCTGAGCCCCTGTACCCTCTCTACCTGCAGGTGCTGACCCACCTGCGGTTCATGTCCCACATCTGCATTGGGGTGCTGATCGGGCTGCTCTACCTGCATATTGGCAACGATGCGGGCAAAGTCTTCAACAACACTGGCTTTCTCTTCTTCTCCATGCTCTTCCTTATGTTTGCTGCGCTGATGCCCACTATCCTCACCTGTAAGGAGCTCCTTCCACCAACACCCATTCGCTGCTCCCAACCCTTGGGACAGAGGGGGGTGCTCCAGCTGTGTGGGGGTGTGTCTGCTGGGAGGTGTATGGTGGAGCCGGATGAATTGGACAAAAGGGGAGAATTAAGAGAGGAGAGGAAAAAAAATCAAACAAAGAAGAGGGGAGAAACTTCTGTTTGGGTATATTGCAGTTTTGCCCTTTATTTCATGTTTGGCTATAATGTACTTGCTGGCTTAAAGCAGAATGCTGGCAAATTTTTTTTGCTGAGAAAATGTCTGTGAAGCTACATTTTCAACCGCTTCACCCCTCTTTCACTTCCTCGGAAATTTTGCATAAAAACCCCCAGCCAAGCTGACTTTTCCATGCAGAAAGTTCCCACACTGGTCACTGACTGTGTTTCCCTGGTGAAGATCCGAGCACCCGCTCATGGTGCAGGCAGGAGGCTGCCTGGTGCTCTGTGCAGCATCACATCTGCCTGCACCGGGGCAGGTGGGAGTGGGGGCTGAGCAGCGCAGCCCAGGCCAGGGCACTGCTGGCTGCTAACTCCTTGTTTCCATGCAGTCCCCCAGGAGATGACTGTATTCCTGCGGGAGCACTTGAACTACTGGTACAGCCTGAAAGCCTATTATCTGGCAAAGACCATGGCAGATGTGCCCTTCCAGGTGAGATTTCGGCTGGAGTAAAGCTTGGCCCCGATGCTGATGTGCCTTCCTTGGCACAGCCAAGTGCCGCAATACCCAGCTGGCCTTTGAGGGGTCCCTGCAGCCCTCCATTCCCCAGGGAGGGTCTGTGGGGTGAGGATGGCTATGGGCCCAGCAGAGCAGTCTCTTTGCTTGCCCTTCTCCAGGTGATCTGCCCTATCGCATACTGCAGCATTGTGTACTGGATGACAGGCCAGCCGCCTGAAGCCACACGCTTCCTTCTCTTCTCTGCCCTGGCCACTGCCACAGCCCTGGTGGCCCAGTCCCTTGGGCTTCTCATCGGAGCTGCTTCCACTTCGCTACAGGTCAGATGGGGCCTTGGCTTTGCCTATTATGTGGACGTGGGGTGAGCATTGCATGGGGTCCCATGACAAGGAGGGGTGGAGGGAAGTGCAGCCCATAGGCAGGCATGTGAGTGCCACAGATGGTGCTCCTGGGGACAGGGACGTGACACCCAATGGCCTCTGCTCCCCAGGTGGCCACCTTTGTGGGACCTGTCACTGCCATCCCTGTCCTGCTCTTCTCGGGCTTCTTCGTCAGCTTCAAGACCATCCCCACCTACCTGCAGTGGAGTTCCTACGTCTCCTATGTCAGGTGGGACCCCGTGCTCTGGATAGAAGCTCCCTGCCATGGGCTCCCATGGGCTGGGGAGAGCAGAGGGCTGCCTGGGGCACGCAGTGACACTCGTGGTGTGGTCTGCCCTAGGTATGGCTTCGAGGGTGTCATTCTCACCATCTATGCCATGGAGCGCGAGGACCTGGAGTGCCTCGAGGACTTCTGCCCTTTCCAAAAACCCATCAAGATCCTGCAGGAGCTGGATGTGGAGGAGGCGAAGCTGTACCTGGACTTCCTCATCCTGGGCATCTTCTTCATCATCCTGCGGCTCCTGGCTTACCTGGTGCTCAGGTACAAAGTCAAGTCAGAGAGATAAAGGGGCCACAGGGCCCCGGTGCCGTTCCCGGGCCTGGCCTGCTGTGAGAGACAGTTCTGCAGATGGACACAGTGCTCCTAGCAGGTCATGGACCATGGCAGAGGCGTCGGTAGGTGCCAGCCAGGCCTGGCTCAGTCGAGAAGGGTTTTGAGACATCTCGGAACTGTTTTAACCTTTCCACACACTCTTCATTGCAAAAGTTTTGTACAGCCCTGGCATGTGCCACCCTCTCCCCCAGGACTG